TTTTTCTCCGTACCAGGAACCGAACTCACGACCTTGTGCTTGCCAGGCAGGCACTTTGCCGCTGAGCTAAATCCCCAGCCCCTCCAATTTGTTTTGACTTAACAGTAGTTCAACTTTATTTTTCTACTTTACAGTGGTGCAAAAGTGGTATGCATTCACGAGAAACTGCACTTTGAATCCTGATTTTCCTGAGTTAGCAGTGTAAGATGCAATCATGTGACGCTGGCCAGCAGACTGTACTCTACTCTGTAAGCCACAGGAGCCAGAGTAGACGCTGAAGACTCCAGTGCTGTGTGGCCACACTATCACATTTGGTAGCTGGGGTGTGCAGTTTTTCCTTAAGGATATTTTCCACTTAGGTCTATCAGGACATGATCCTACTGAGGAGCAGAGAGCAGAGTTCCCATGTGTTCCCCTCCCTCCAGCTACTTTTGTCAGTAAACACGATGCACCAGATTAACCAGGACTCTTCTTAGTTCAAGTTCCTCTTTTTAGTGTAGTTTATGGACTTTGACAAGTTCATGTCACATTATCCACTAGCTGCCCAAAAAAATCCTGTGCTCCATGTTTATTCCTCTATCCCAACAACCACTGTCATTACTTTTTCCATTTAGCAATATGCAATTAAAGAGTTTCTCTTCTTGTGGCTGGATAGTTTTAAAAGTAGTTATGACATATGATTTCTTTTTCAGTTCTAAAAACATTTTTGTGGAAAAATGTTAAGCCTTAACAGTTTTAACCACTTTGTACAGCTCAGTGAAGTGTACTCTGTGAGCAGTCACTGCCACTGTTAAATCTCTAGCTTTTTCACAATCCTCTATTGAATCTCTGTACACTTCGAACCACCCCTACTCTTAACCCCGACTGAAAGTAGTTTTTGTCATGAATTTTACTATTATACAACCTAACAAGTGGCACCATCCTGTCCTTTTGTAAGTAGCTTCTTTCACTTAACACAATGCCCTCAAGGCTCACCCACAGGTGCATCAGAATTCAATTCCATTTAATGGCCAAATAATATTCCCTTGTACAGCTATACTGCATCTTGTAAACCATGCATCTATTGGCGGGCACTTATTTCCAGCACTGACTACCATGAACACTGCTGCACTGAGGTGTACAAATATGCGCCAGGCTTCTGCTTTATTTTCAAGTATTGGAATAGGAAGTCAGATTATGGGATTGCACCGGTGCCACTTTACAGTTCCACCAACAATGCTCAAAAGTGGCAATTTCTTCCCATCTTTGCCAGCATTTGGGGGGGGGCAGAGAAAAGTATTATTTCATTGTGGTCTTGATTTGTATCTTCTGTTGATTACTGCTGTTGGTCATCTTTCATGTGCACGATGTCTTCTCTGGAGTTCGGGTTCTTTGCCATTTTTAAATCAGGTGTTGTTGCTGTTAGACTTTTGTTCTGTGTGTATTCTGGATGTTAAATCCTTTTATATGAACTGAAACTATTTTGTCCCATTCCGAGGATTGCTTTTGTATGCTACTATAGTATCCTCTCATACACAAAATTTAGTTTTGATGAAATCGTTAGGTCCACTTTTGCAGCCTGCAAATTGTGTCATATCCAAGAAATCACTTAGTTTTCCATTTTCTGCTAAGTTTTATGGTTTTAATACCTGTACTTATATTTTTGACCCATCTTATTATTTTTGGCATATGCTACTAGGTTAGGCCCTGATAGTCATGTGCTACTATCTTGTTTACCTAGCACCACTGTTAAAAAGACTATCCTTTCCTCATTGAAAATACTGTGTGTTCTTGTCAAAAATCTTATAGAAAGGCTTCTTTTCTAGGCTGTCTATTCTGTTCCACTGGTTCATCCGTCTGTCTGCAAGAATCAGATCTGAAATCAGGTTTGAGTTTTCCAGTTTGTTATTCAACATTGATTTGGCTATATGGGGCGGGGGGTCCTTTCAGATTACATCTCAACTTTAGGATGTAGTTTTCTATTTCTGCAAAAGAAAAAGCCATTGGGATTTTGAGAGATTATACTGAATCTGTAGATGACTTCCATTCGAAACATCTTGGATGTATTTTTTTTAACTTTTCACTTGTTTTGTAGTTTTCACTATGTATAAGCTTTCTTCTGTTAATTCCCACATATTTTATGCATGACACTATACTAAGTAGAATTGTTCTCTCAATTTTCTTTTCAGCTTGTTCATTAATGTATGGAAATGCCACTGATTTTCTTGTCTTTGTATCCTGTTGCTTTGGTGAATTCACTTACTGGCTGAAACAATCTTTTTCGGCTATCTTTATAGAGTTTTCTACATGTAAGAACATGTAAACTGAGCATCAGAGCACTTGGCTGTAATCCCAACACTGGAGGGTGAGGCAGCAAGATTTCAAGCCTAAACAATTTAGTAAGACCTAGCCTTCCAAAAAAACCCCAAAAACAAGAACAAAACTTTCAACCTTTCACTGCTGTGGAATTTTTCATTATGGCTTTGTGTTCATGTAGTTTCATTTTTTAGTGTTTTTAATCACAAAAGAGTACTGAATTTTATCAAACGCTTTTCCTACATCACTTGAGGTGCTATAGGTCTCCCCCATCTTAATGTGGTTTACTGCAGTGATCAATTTTATGTTGAACCATCCTTGCATTCTAGAAATATTATGGTTATGTATGACTCTGTAAGAAAAAATATATATAGGAATCAGTCCCATTTGTTCAGTGTACAATCCTGTTTTTTTTTCTGGTACCGGGAACCGAACTCACGACCTTGTGCTTGCCAGGCAGGTGCTGGGCTGCTGAGCTAAATCCCCAGCCCCCAGTGTACAATCCTAGTATTGCTATAGGGCTGTTAGCTAGTGTCATACTAAGGAATTTTGCATCAGTATTCATAAGGGGCATCCTATATATATTGGCTTTTCCCATGTAGTCATGTACATGTCTCAGATCCTACAGTGTGATAAACCAGTGATGTCAAAGGATCTCAGTTTGTGTGAATATACTCTATACATTTGTACATACTATAGAGATGATCCCTGAAAGTGACAAGAATCTCTGTTGCCCATGATAAAGCTTGATTTCTAAGAGACTAACAAGGTTAGGGGTGTAGCTCAGTGGTGGAGTACTTGCATAGCGTATGTGGCGCCCTGGGTTTGATCTCCAGCTCCATGAACAATAAGATAGAGCAATTATAACAATATATCGTAATAACATTGCTAGCATCACTAAACTTGTGGTTTAGGGCCACTACGAAGTGAAATAAAGGTTATCTGAACACAGGCTCTAGAAATATGAAAAGTGTATTATGAGACATGGCTGCTATCCCAGTCCTCTATGCAATGTTTACTTTCCTTCTTGCTTCTGCTTCATGCGTTTCTGCATTCCACTGTCCTATCTTCAAGTTTGCTCATTTTTTTTCCTTTGCATCTGCTTTTGAACACCTCTGGTGAGATTTTCATTTGTTATTGTACTCTTTTTTTGGTGGTGGGGGGGGTCTTTATAATTCTTTTTCTGTTTACTGATAACTGATTTTACACATTTACCATTTCCCTGATTTTCCTGTAGCTCTCTCAGCATACTTGAGATAGCTGTTTTAAAGTCTTTGTCTAAGGGGCTGGGGATTTAGCTCAGCGGCAAAAGCGCCTGCCTGGCAAGCGTAAGGTCGTGAGTTCGGTTCCCAGTACCGGAGAAAAAAACCAAAAAAATAAATAAATAAATAAATAAAAAATAAAGTCTTTGTCTAGTAAGCTTTATATCTGGGCTTAAGGACATTGTGTCAGTTTATCTCAATTCTTTAAATAGGCCTTACTTTCCCTTCTTCTGTATGCCTTTGTATAGTAAAAAACTGCACATGCTGCTATTATAGTATGGTGACTCTAACATCTTGTCCCCTTTGTTAAAGGTTTGCTGTTTTTATTTATTTATTTTGGTCTTTTTGAGACAGGGTCTCACTATGCAATTCAGGCTAGTTTTGAACTCACTTTGAAGCCCAGACTGTCCTCGAACTCACAACAATCCTCCTACTTCAGCCTCCCCAGTGCTGCGATTACAGGAGTGCACTACCACACATCATCTGGCTGTTTTTCTTGTTTTGGTTAAGGATGTCGATTTTTGTTTTGCAACTTTTCCAAACTTTTTACAAAACCTCCTTTTCATGTGATTGTTGAAGTCATTGTTCTTTTTTGTCACACTTGGCTATTCTGATAGAAATTAACCACGAATGGCAGTCCTCCCGGTCAATTATGTTTTATTCCCATGTGTAACTCTGGTATCATGACAAGACTTTGAACAGAGTATGCTTATTATGCAAATATATGGCCACTGACTTTTGGTTAGTCAGAAATAGAAAAATGTTGAGAAAGCTGTCCTAATTCTCAACCTCATCATCTGCATTTTAAAGCAACATTAGTCAATCTTGCCCTTTTTTGCTGGTTGTGATGAGTCACTACAGAATAAAACCTTTTATAAGAGTGTTCACAAAACGGAAGCGCTCCATCTACCCGAAACATTTAACTCATCAAATAACATTGCTGACTTGTGCCAGTGTTTCTTACTTTGTAGTGGTGCATGTTCTGGTGACCTGTATTTAGCTATGGGGCAGGGCAGAAATACAATATACACAGCAAAGCACCATGGCTTATAAGTATTTGACTACTGATCCCTAGATATGGGACTAGCATGAGATCAGCTTTCTAGTAACATATTCTTTACATAGTACAGGTATTAGTTTTGTTCATGCAACAAGACTGTTAGTGCAGATACTTACTGTATTTTCTTTATTTTAGCATTAAGCCACCTCAACTGAAAATCAAGTCAAGCACCTGACATCTCATGATTTCCTGTGGGAAGAATTTGAAATCTTCTGTTTCCATTAAAACTGAACCTATGGCTGGTATTTTCAAGAGTATAGAAAATAATAATTTTTTTTCTCAAAAACTTCTGCAGATTGCATAGAAACTAGATATGTGAGCTTCTTTCCACTGTAATTGTCCTCATGTTAAGTTTGTAGTGTGAATCAGTGGCAAATCTGGCCTCCTAAGCTGAAATGATCCACATTTAAGAAAAACAGAAAACTGTCATAGTGAAGCAACTTGTTAGACTTAATGGCCCTCCCCACTCTCATCATAGCATTTTGTAAGCTGTATCTGTTTCTAGGGATTTTTTGTGGGTTTTCTGTCTGTTTTGGTGGTACTGAGGATCAAACCAAGGGCCTCACTCATACTAGGCAAGCACTCTGTCACTAAGCTATATTCCCAGCCCTTTTTGAGATGGGCCTCAAACTTGAAATCCTCTGCCTCAGCCTCCTAACAGCTGGGATTACACACATGAATACATCAGCTATTCTAGGTTTTACAAGGGGTGATAAAAATACACAGTGAGTGTTTAAATTTTTAAAAGTATTATAGTAAAAAACATATTGCTGTTAATCCCGCTCAAAGTACTTTCTCTCACTTGGAACACTTATTCCAGTGTTCTTGCCACTCTCTGAAGCACGTCTGGAAGTCCTCTTTCATTACAAGATGTGACCAGAAATACAGCGTATTCCAAATGTCATCCAATAGGTAGGCAGGTTTGTAAAAACATGACGCTGTGTCCTCACCTATCTTATTGACTGGACCTGACACCATGGGACCACTGGCTCTTCCCCAAAGTCAAAATGGCCATGAGAACCAGGTGCCCAGCACTTCAGTGGCTGATCCAAGAGGACAATGTAAAGTTTGAGGCCAGTCTGGACTACATAATGAGACCATCTCAAAAAATAAATGTTTTGAATTAATTCACATCAAGGAAGCTCTGACACTCACAAAAGGACAACTTCCAGAATTGCTTCAAAAGTGGCAAGAATGGGCCGAAGATATAGCCCAGCAGTACAAGCGCCTGCATAGCAAGCGCAAGATCCTGAGTTCAATTCCCTGTACCAAAAAAAAAAAAAAAAAGTGGCAAGAACAATGGGATAAGTGTTCAAAGTGAGGAAGAATATTTAAAGGTGGATTAATGGCGATGTCTTTAATAAATGTTTTTAAAAATGTAAACATTCACTGTATTTTCCAATTGTATCTTGTAATTCCAACATTTATTGTCCCTTGTCCTCAGATTCCTACTTGGATCAAAATTATAAAGCAAACTGTAGTCTCAGAAATAATTTCACTTGGAAAATACAGAAATCAATATTCTTTAATAACCTGATTAAATAAACCATTGTGTCATCTGCTCTTCACTTGACAGTAGGACACAAAAACAGAGTTAACCTCTATTTGTGCTCATCCCAGTTTTTCAAACAATCATTAACTATAATGGTTGCCATCTCTAGGAATCTGGTTTGAGCTGTAACCATAATTATTTCTCTAATATTTACTTTTGCCTATGGCAAGCCTTTAAAAATAGTGTACCAATTATACAGCTTTAACTGGTTAAAATTCCTTCCACACAACCATAAAGTCTCTTGGGAGGCAGGAAGGATAAGTTCTTATCAGTACTACAGTTGGTTCTACTGGGCCAACTCCTCCCCTTTCTACTTTGCACAGTGATTTTGTTGTCCACAGACAAGACCTAAAGCCTCACCTAAAAGGAATTCAATAGCACATCAAATATAGTAAGAAGTTAGACTCTCTTTTAAGAAGGAAATATTTCATGAATAGTTCAAAAAAAAATCTAATTTCAGGCCCATTTGTTTATATTTTAAGTTTTTAAAATCTTCCTCTATTATTTAACCAACTTTAGTTAGTATGAGGGATGGAAATAAATTTACAAAGTATTTGCTCTAAGTGCTAAGTAAGCATACTCAAGGAATGGAATTTTGATCCACTAACTGATAATGGATACTGACGTCAAATAGAAAAGTTAATAGTAAAACAGAAATGACTGAAGAGATACAGATGAAAAGTTCTCACAGTAAAATTTATCTCTGAACTTCTTTAGGCACAAATATTTAACTATAAAAAAAAAAACAAAAAAAACAAAAAAAAACAACCTTTGTATATGTACATGGAGCAAGAGAAAACTCTGTAAGGTCAAAGTTGGGAGAGCCAGGCATGGTGGCACACACCTGTAACCTCAGCACTCTGGAGCCTGAGGCAGGACTGCAGTTTGAGGCCAGCTTGGGTGGTAATAACAAAAAAAGAAAAACTTGGGAGAAAAGTGATTTAAAACTGGAAAGACAAATAATGTTAACACATTTGTTTTCACTTACCTTCCAAGTTTTCTACTGTTCTGTGAACAAACCCGACCATTTCAAAAGTGCTGACCATCAGTCATACATTCTCTAACGACATTCTGCAACAAAGACCTGAAAGAAAAAGGCAGCCAAAACAGGCAAGACAGGACCACTGTGGAGAGGCTTCCATGGAGGTGCAGGGACCTGGGTCCTCTGGTTCTCACTAACCTCTGTATCACCCAGGCTGTGTACACCCAGATCCACCCAAGCAATAGGATGGAGATGGACAAAAAGTGGTCATGCCATGTGTAAAGAACACTAAGAAATGTGGTCTGTCTTTGTCCTGGGAGACACGTGCCTAACTAATAATGAGAAGTTCCATCACCATGTGAAAATGTTAAGACTGGATACTGAGGAAAAATGGTTCTCCCTGCACACCTCTCATCTAAATATCTGCATAAATAGAAATTCAAACTTTTCATCATTTTATGTGTGACAGGACTGCAGAGCTGACAGATACCTACCACTCTAGGTATCATCTACACAGGAGTTTACATCCTTCATGTACTTACCAAAAGCAATGAAATGCAAAATGCCATATGAATGAATACCCAAGGCATGTTTTATTGGCAGAAAGCCAAAATAAGGTACTATAATTTTTTTGGTCTGCCAATTAGCTATACAGAGCTACAGGGGGAAAAAAAAAGACTCTTCTTTTGTAGTTGAGAGAAAAGAGGAAAATGGCTTACTTATAAAATCTAAGAAGTCTTTGGCAGTTTGTGCACCAATACAAAAATAGCTCTTTAATTTTTATCATATAAGTAGAAAGATCAATAATAGCAGTCCAACTTCTAAAAATACCTGGAGAAAATGAAATATAGCAGAGAAAAACTTTTCAGCCATCTATGGCTTTTCTCTTTTATAAAGATTCTTCAGCTAACAGATCACCTACTAGTACGAACAGGTAGATGCGGAAAGTCTAATCCTCCAGCCGCCACCATTTGAAGTCACCTTACATCAGCTACATAACCTTGTGCAACACAACCACTGAGATTTGCTTGCTCCTGATGCAGAATTATTGGTTTGTGTTATGTTGTGTACAAAGTTATGCTTCACGTATGTTAAAAACTACCTCAGTGTGATCTCAAATCAACAAAGCTGGAAAACAGATACAGATGAAGTTATTTTTGTTTCAAATACACATACCCCAAGGTTCCATTTTCTGGAAAAGCCAGAACCCGAAGTTATATGCTGTGAAAGCTGCTTTATTTAGATGACCCCAGGTGAATGAGGGCCATTATGGTTGTATAGCTGTGGAACAGATCCTCGTCCTTTACCTCGTTACACTTCCTCAGTATAAAGTTCCCTGTGACTATCCGGTCACATCCAATTTCTCCATTTCCAAAGAAGCCAAATAAAGGCACACTAGGAAAAAACTTTCTGAATGCATCCGCCTCAACATTGGCCTTGGCTCGGTAATAGTGGAAGCCCCGGCCAACGCACGCGAACATGAAGCCGATGGTGTCCTGCTCTGGGATGTTGGCTGCCTTGAGGCGCTGCATGGCCGCCTCCACAGCCTTCTCATCACTGACGTCCTCATTAAGGAGCACTGTGGCACTCTGGATGCGCAGCCCACTGAAGGACAATCCAACCACGCCGGTGGCATTGATATCCAGAGGGCTCCTAGAAAATAAAATTAGAAAAGCAGCAATTAATCATGAAACAAAAAAAAGGCGTATTAAAGAAAAAGCCCACTTGATTCACTGCTGGGGAGCTGTTGCCCAGTTAGCAGCCTGTGCTTAGTTTGAGACACACACTCCAGATAAGAGGAAAATTGCAGGGTTAAAAAACAAAATTAATACATTCATAGAGTGCAGAAGGCAGCTTATGATAACTCATTTTCAACTACAAATACAAAGGGACCACGCATAGTCATAAACACTTCTGAAACTCACCCTGGATTATTAGAAGAAATAGTTTTTCTTTCTTAAAAGGAACCTTACAGTTATATTCATATATACAAAGTTGTCCACTTAATGAAGCTTCTTAAATTTACTATGTGGTGTCTTCCCCCATACCACCTTCAGTTATCAAATTCTCAAAGAGGGCAACTTCTAAAACTTTTAGACGTTTTATGTTGTTTGGTCCATAAACAAATATGATTATATTGCTTTTTATCTTGTTTATTGCTTTAATATGATGGTAAGAAAAGACCAGATCAAGTGCATTATTGTTATACTGATCTGGTTTTTAAAATTGTAATAGTATACACTAGACACAGCTATAAAGCATATACAGTACAGGAAACATTCAGTGGGGAAGCAACAAATACTTTATATTTCTATGATGTTTCTCAACGTCTGAATCCATACAGTGATCAAGATTCACTGCTTGAGCAGAAGCTAAGACTCAAAAAGGTTAACTAAGCAAGCAAGAATAGTCAGTGGCAAAACCAACCTGAGAGCAGCAGAATCCCATTTTCTTTTTTTAGTACCAGGAATCAAACTCGGGACCTTGCACTTGCCTGGGAGGCACTTGTACCATGGAGCTATATCCCCGGCCCAGAATCCCATTTTCTAAAGTCTTAACTTTATGACCTCTCCTCTCTTGTAGATACCATGTTGTAAAGCTGGGTACTGTGGTACACAGCTGTAATCCCAGCACTCTCAAAAACTGAGGCAGAAGGATCTCAAGTTTTAAAACCCAGCCTGGGCAACTTAGTGACTTTGCAAGACAGCTGTCTCAAAAAAGGGCTACAGATGTAGCTCAGTGTGACATCTCTGGGTTCAATTCCTAGTTACCCTCTGCCGTAAACAACAACAAAGCAAGAAAACCCTATTCCAAGTTGTGAATCTCTTGTTTCAACAAATTATCTTTTTCGGGGTGGGGAAGGCTAGGTTATCTGAACATTTATCTGGACAATGCAGGGATTGACTCAATGGCTTCTTGCCCACTGACACAGTATGAAGATCCCATTAAAATCCATGTGTTGTACAAAGAGTGATGATTTTAGGGGATCTATTTTTCCATATTAGGTATAAAAAGTGGATGATACCAAACAGCCACACCAAGAGGTTGGCATCTGAGACTTGTATGTCTGAGTGACAAATCTGCACTGCACTCTCAGCATGCAGTCCCAAGCCTAGGCCTGTGTGTGTGAGACACAGTGTCTGCCACCCTGCTGCCTGGCTCTCCTCTCTTCTTCCTCACCGGCAATCCAAGGACCCTGTCTTACCTGACTGCTTCTTTGGTCCATCAATGCAGACTGCTAAAAGAAATAGCAATGAGATGACTTGACTTTCCTCTTAGACACTGATCCTAACATCTTCCCCAAATCCTCAACGCAGATCTAGAGAGGAACCGGTACTAGTACTGATAGGAGGGGTGGGGTCGGGTAGGAGTAGGGCTTCACTGTCCTGCTTTTGGAGACCAATGCATTTTCATGAGAGATGAAGAGAGACCCAGCACTGCAAACTGGGAGATGGGGGTGAGTAATGGCTTAAGAGTGAAGAAATACTGTTAGAAAGCAAAAGCTTTGAACAACAAAAACCAAAGATCCACAATATTTGAGCTTCACAAAAGTTTCTTGAAAAGGGCTGGGGATTTAGCTCAGCGGCAAAAGCGCCTGCCTGGCAAGTGCAAGGTCGTGAGTTTCGGTTCCCGGTACCGGAAAAAAACCAAAAAAAAAAAAGTTTCTTGAAAGATCTAGGACAGAACTTCTAAAAATGTGCCCGTAAAGTCTGCAAGATGCTTTATAAGAACGTTTTGTAATCAAACAGATCTGACAAATGCCATGGGTGATTTCAACTGCACTAGATTTCCAAAGCACTGACCCTAAAGAGCTGAGAGAACTTTTTACATAAAGATAAACTTTAACCATATACTTCCTTTAAAGAAGAAACAGGCAGAAAGGAAATACAGAAGTCACTGCAGTCTGATCAAGACAGCAGAATTTCTCTATACACCTCAGGGACCCCCTGGGACAGCTGCAGTCTGCCTCTCAAGACTCAAGATGCTCAGTGTCTAACCAGGTTTTCAAAGAACCAGACTGGGTCTATTTTCCAGCCATGGGACTTCTGTGTACTTGCTGAGGGCTGCCAAGGCTTCCTGCTCACTGACAACCTACTCAAATCGCCTCTATCATGTATAGCTTGACACAAGGACACATGCCACCATCAATTAGGCCAACCAAACACTGCTCAGAACAAGCTGCTTCACCCTCACCACTGTCCCCTAACAACCCAAGCCTCCTCCTCCTCAAAAAACACTTGACTTGGTTTCTATCTAAACCTTCGCTCTTGATTATGAAACCCATTCTGTACTTGAATAAAAGCTGTATCATGCTTTCATTATAACCTCATTTATGATGTCTTGGTTTCAAAGGTGACATACTAAGGTCCAGAGACACCAGAGCTATCTCTGGAGAGTTTAATAAACAAGCTGAAAGCCAATGTTAAGAGCATGAATCTAACTAAGAAAAAATTCTTAAAGGACAATATGTATAATTCAACTGTAAGCAGAGTTACACTGAGCTCCTTAACCAATGTCTAGTGCAAGAGGAGACAGTGTATCAGCAATTCTTTAAATCCAGTTTTAAAGAACCCAAAGTAACAAAAATCTGAAACTATTTCGCTTGTCTGAGGCATACACATACTTTTCGGAGGTCAGCGATGAGAGACTGTCCACCTGGCCTCCAGCCAAGATGATGTTCATGTCACTGAAAGTGCTGACCACACGCTGCAGGTAACTGCTGGCTCCCACCTTACAGCAGTTATAGCCAAACACAAGTACCACACGCAGCTCCGGGTTATCCAGAAGACCTGCAGAGAGACACAGAGCAACAATTAAAGACATCCTTAAAACAAAATGTTACTGCTGATGACCAGGACTACTAATGAATTGCAATTTTACCATTTTTATAAACTTTAATACCATTCAAAATCTTAGTTGCAATTATAATTTTTCTACTATTAAAAAAAAAATCACATACATGTAATCCCAGAACTTTAGAAGGCTGAGGAAGGAGAATCACAAGTTTGAGCCCAACCTAGGCAACTTGAGAGATTTACCAAGATTCTGTCTCAAAATTTTAGCAAGGGGGTTGAGGATGTAGCTTAGTGCAAAGGAATGGTTCAATTTCCGGGACACTTGCCAAACAAAAAAACCTTAAATGATTACATGAAAACAAGACAGTCACCATACCACAGTCCAGAAGCAGCTGTGTCCTGAGCTGCAGCTGGCAGCAGGAATGGCAAGGCCAAGGAGCCAGTTGCACCGCAGCCAGGCCTCGCCTCAAGCCTCTGGCACTCTGCTTTCAGAACATAGACTTAAAATCGGCCAGTGTCACCAAGTAGACGGCTTCTGGACAGGAAGAAAACCCAACTCCAAACCTCACTTGTACTTCCCTGGGTCACCAGTCTTCCTTCCTAACACATCAGAGAAGAGGGGAGGGCAGGAAACAGGATGCACAGGTGGGGTGAGGGACTACTAGCTATCACCAGTCAGCACCAAGGACTCTGACGTTTCGTAAAGTCTTTCTTCCTCTTCTGCACTACCCTCGCCAATTCTAACAGAATAGTTTTTCTTTAGAACCAATTTTCAGAATTAGAAGAGGCCCATAGATTCATGAGTCTTCATTTTACACACATGATCCCCAATCCCAAAAGCAACAGGCCAGAAACAGGCCATGCTATTCAAAAGAGGGGCTGGGGATTTAGTTCAGTGGCAAAGTGTCTGCCTGGCAAGCACAAGGTTGTGAGTTTGATTCTCGGTACCGGAAGAAAAACAAACAAACAAACAAAAAACAAAACAAAAGAAAGCCAGGAAGTTACCCAGGAACCTCCCTGGTAGGCAGTCTCAGGCCCTACGTGTAGCACAAGGTGGAAAGGGACAGGGATATAACTTCAGTGCCAGCCCAGGACACCAGCACACACTGCCCTACTGGCAGCTGCTGTTACCCAATGGTCCCTATGTTGGCATCTTGCATCCACAGCCCAGATACTCATGGTTTCCTCCTGTTTCAAACCCAGTGTACCCAGACACAGCTGAACTCTGAGTCCTTCTCATCCATTCTTTACCTCAGCAAATGGTACTGTGCAGCACATCCACTGGGAAGTTGGTGACACTGCTGTCACCCACCTGGTTCTCCACACCCAGCCCCAAGTCAGCCACAATGCCACCCATGCACCTCCACGTGTCACCTTGACTCTACCAAAGTGCCTCAGTACCACCTGCTACTCCAGCCCAAACTGTTGCCTCTTGCCTGAATCACTACCACAGTCTCTGGTTCCCTACATCTACTTTTATAAAATTAAACTTATTTTAATCAACAAATAAAATTACATCTATTCATTGCAGACAGCGTTTTGAAATGTGTATACACTACTGGTAAAGTACACGCAGTATGGCTAAGCACAGCTGATCATGCACCCTGTCACCACACTGCAGCCAGAGACCCACCTGGTCGTGGCCTGGCCTCACTGCCCTTGCTCCTCATGGCCTCCAGAGTCAGCCGAGACCCTGCCTGTTGCTGCCACTTCATCGCTAGCACCTCTGTCCCTGCTCCCACACACGTCAGTCTCCTTTGTTTCCTGGCTGTGCTGTGGGGACCCCAGCTTTACACCTCAACAGAGGCATCAGGTTTTCTACTTCCTGTCCTGAGCTCTACTTCCTGCTGCTTCTCTGTCAGCAACCTGGAGGGAAGGTAAGGACACCCACAATACCCTCCCTGCCCGAGGCTTGCACAGACCTCCTCTGGCTGTCAGCTGTCACCTTGCCAGGACCCCACAATGGAGGAGCCCGGGTTACAAGCCTCTCCTGGTGGCTCACCTGGTGCCCTGCGCTGCTGACTGGGAGGCCCAGGGGTAGGGCACTGTCACCAGTCACCTGCACACAAACAGATTTTCAGTGAATAAACACTGGCTTTTTATGAAATTTGACTGATGTATTTTTGCTTTTACTCCTTAAGATTTTTGGTAAGACGTCTCCAAAAGGAATATAAAACTGTGTGTGTGTGTGTGTGTGTGTGTGTGTGTAAAAGCATATGCTCTGATACTCGATGAGATACCACTGCTGCTAGACCCAAGGCCTACCCAGCAAACATCAACATCCAACACGAAGTCCCCTCTCAGAAAGACAATTCTGTCAGAATATGGCCCCTGCTTTTGCTCACTGTGAACTTTTCATACCAGATCTTAGTCACTGTCATAAGCATTGTCAAGCACAGGAGCCAAACCCACCCGCCTTCCTGTCCTGCAGGTCAGCCATCCCTCTCTGCAGTCTATGGCCGCTTCTGCGCCCCAAAAGCAGAGCCCACAGGGACCGCTGAGGCTATGACTGGCAAAACCTAAAGTATTCACTCTCTGGCCTGCGCGGAGAATCTGCACCACTGTTACAGAACCCAGGAAGGGACCTCACTTCATGTCCACAGGAAGATGCAGGCTGGGACTGCAGGGCAGGCACATCCTGTATCAAAGGATGTGCAAGCACTGCATTGTGTCACTAGTGTAAAACTTGAAAGAGTTAATTTAAACTCGGAGGTATGATAGACACTGTGAAATGATAGGAAACCACGGAAGAGTAAAGGGCTTCTGGGATGTGGGAAAAGAGAAGGGAAAGAAGGAGAAATTTTGTATGTATATATATACAGGATAGATAACATGGTTGTTCTTCTATCTGCTGTTTCTATGCTGAAAGAAACTGTCAATGAGTCTTTGGTTGACCAGTATTGCATGTCTATATCTGTTTTCATGAGAAGCCACTTTGAAGATATCAATATGTAATACAACCACCATTGTTAATTCCCTACCACTTTGTTTGTAACTCTGTATTGTCTGTATTGTGCTTGTGATATGTTGTAAAATGTTGTATGTCTGTTAATGTTTCCCTCCTTTTATCCTTAAAATAAAAAAAAAAAAAAAAAAGCCTTAGCTGATCTACGTTGAGAAATATGTAACATTAAGTCACAAACCAGCTCTCAAGAGACAAAACTGTCATCTAGTGACATTTCAGAATACATTCACGATACTGACAGCAGCTCAATAAAGGGTACTATGTGAAAGCCATTCCCTGGACAAACCCAGGTTATCATGTTTCCAGCAGCACAACTCACAATGGCTACATTAAGCAAGCAGCCTATGTCCATCAATAGATGAATGGATAAAGAAAATGTATTTACACACAATGGAGTACTACTCAGCCACGAAGAGGGGTAAATGTGAGTCATCTCTAGGAAAATGGATACACCTTAAAACCATAATGTTAAGTTAAATAAATCAGACACATAAAGATAAGGTCACACTGTTTCTCTTATATGAGAAACCCAAGAAAATAATGTAACGCACAAAATAAAAGAAGGAAACAAAGAGGTAGACTTTGTAGAGATGAGAAGAGGATCTGAAAAAGGGAGAGAAAAGGGGGTGGGGGTAGAGCAATAAAAGTGACAAAGAAACACCATATGCCTATGCCTCTGCCCAAGACGCATGCAGTCAGCACGTGCTGCAAGATCATGCTGCAGTCATCTTTAGGATCTGGGGCTGTCTTTCCTCAGTGTCCCCACATCCATACTTGGCACCAAAATGAAAACATGGTCTGACAACGATTTTATCCCAGCATGGTTGCTTTCTTTGGCTCAGGGTACTGTTTTTTTCCAAGCTGACAAAAGCAAACCTTTTAGAACCTTCTAGCTTTCACCAGCGCTGTGTCAGGACCTGCGGGACAGAGGAAGGAGCTGCCCCAGAAGCCCCACCACTTCTCCAGACACAGTGACAGCCACGTGGCCTTTGGCAAAAGCCAGAACAAACCCAATTTTTCCTCCCAGCCCCGCTGCTCCTGGCCCACACCTTTACCCCCATCTCCTGGGCAAACCCCACAGCCAGCGTGTTACCCCTACAAAGCCCTAACCGTCTGCTGATTTCCTCTAGTCTCCTCATCGCCCCGGTGTGCTGTTCACTCCGTGCTTGGTACACAGCTCTGCCAGGAGCTGCTTTCACCTTGCAGAGGAGCAAACGAGAAGTCAGGACACCTGCCCTGCACACTGCATCCTCAAAGGACCCTGATCCACCACCCAAAGCCCTCACTCAAGGTTCTCCCATGTGACCCAAGAGCTGCTGCTCCTGCTCCCATGTCACTGCTGTCCCCCCCCTTGCACAGCCCTGCCCTCTCGGTTCTGTGTTGTCAAGCATAGTTAAGGTTTATTCTCATATGGACATCCTTTTTTTCCATGACCAACAAGCCAAACCGATTTTCCCCGTGCTGCTATCTGATCCTGTGTTCCCATGGGCGCAGGCCCCCGGTCGGAAGCTCAGCTGTGCTACCTGCCCAGGCCCAGGGGAGGCTGGAGGCCAACCCTGACAGCAACCCTGCTGTGCTCTGGCAGCTCTCCTGCACTTACTATAGTGCACATCCCCCCCCAAATGGACACCACGCAACCCCTCACCTCCCACGACGCCTCCTTCAGCCACAGTGCCTGTGTCCTGCCTGTGTATAGTACCAGGCTGATTGCTGCAACTCACACCTTCCCCACCGCTGTGAGACTGCTGTGCCTCTCCCCATCTTCCTAGTCCCCACTACCAACTTGTTTCTTCGGAAACACTTTTAAATAAATGATTATCTGTACAAAAAAAAGAAAAAAATGCCTGAAAAAACACTTTAGTTTTAGAGAAAAAAAAAAAAAAACTCAAATATTCAAAGACCAAGAATTCCTCCAAAATTCAGAATACAAACAAATTTATTATCAACAGAGTATTAATGGAAAATTTTTTCATCTCTGGTCCCCTTGGGCTTTAAGGAAAAAATGCCCAGAGCCAGCCCCTGCTGATCACCAGCTTAAAGAGCAGCATCGCGTGACACAGGCGGACTTAATCCAGAGGAACTCCCACCACTCATCAGAGCTCAAACAGAAAGGTCAGCAAACAAAACAGGCAATTAACAAGCAACTGTAACTTACCCACTTCAGTAAGCTCATGTTTTTCTAGTGTTAACTTCTTTGACTGCTTAATAAAATGAAAGGGCTGTATTTTTATTCCTTCAATTTGAGGAAATAACAGAGCAAAACCAGATTCTCCAATTTCTATTTCCTGAGGTCGATTGCTACCTGATCCCATTGGAGTCACTAGGAAGAAAAAAAAAAAAAAAGAAATCAAAACAATTTTGTGAACAGACTCAATAAAAACTGAATTTAATCCAGTAATGGTGTAAATTAACCAATCCCACCCTACGTAACTGCAATTTAGATCATTAAACAATAACTGATGATACTAAACAGCCACTAATGGAGTACAAGGCTTCCTTCTGCGCTGTCACTGGCAGGGTGACTGTCACGAGGCCTGCAACTTCCTTCCAAGTGCTTCAGAATGCAGCGAAGGGAAGAAAAGGGAATAAGCAGAAGGGAAGGCAAATGAGGCACTGTTTCAGTCACTCACCCCAGATGAAAGGGGTAGTGCCCCAGTCTAGCATCACCCTTTCAACCTTTCTGTGGCTTGAAGCTTTTTAAACAAAACATTGGGAAGACACAGACATTTTCACAGCAGTTCCACTTTAAAGAATTCTTCCTAGAAATATCTGATAATTATACGAAGTGTGTGTATACACAACTATTTTTATCACAGAATTCTAACAGAAAATAAAAAGGAAAAACCTAAATATCCCATCCTGGCATTTAGATAAAAAGTTACATTGCTATTACACAAGCCAAGCACAGAGACATAAGAGGTGTGTTTACTTGACACAGAAATGTTGGTCACGAGGTGTGAATTGTAAAGGCAGATGATACAGGCTGAATTTTGCGGTCCTTAACCCCTCAAACCCATAGGTTGAGCCCCGCTCCCCCACTGGAGAGAAGGCCTTTGCAGAGAGTTAAGATTAAATGAGGCCACAGATGGGCCCTCACTCCAGGGAGCAGTGTCCTTGTAAGGGAGGAAGAGGCGCAGGCACACAGACAGCACCTGTGTGCAGAAAGGGCTGCGTGAGCACACAGGAAAGGCTGCGTGGGGACTCAGGAGAAACGCAGGCTGGTCCTGGACTTACGGCCTCCACACTTACAGAAGTATCTGTGCTGTCACCCCCACGTGCTGCCCAGCAGTCAGTCACATCCTGCTTCACACAGCATACAGAAACACTAAGAGCATCATGTTAACAATGGTGAATCTGCATTGCTTAAGTCTTTCTCCTTTTTTTTTTTTGTGCTTACTTGTACCTTCTAATTTTTTTCTTAATAATAAATGATCATTACTAGTATGGTAAGTCCCTGACTTAACGAACGTTCAAGCTGCAAACGTTCACAGATACCAACAGACCTCACCTTACAAACATTCGCAGATGCGAAGAAATCCCAGAAGTAGCTCATGTGTCTGCGGGACCCTGTCCCAGCTGTGCTGCTGTGTGATTTCTGCACACTGTGAGAGGATACAGTAGTGCACGGGAGAGGGTACAGCAGCACAGGGCTCAATCAGAGCCCAGGATGTTCGGAAGCAAGAGGAAAAGCAGCGGCAGTGTAGAGGGACTGCTAGGAAGCACAAAGTAACAGCCACAGAAACAAAAGTAAAAATAATTGCTTACCTGGAAAAAGGCTAAAGTTGCAAGGACAAGGGCAGGGCCTGGGAGGCAACATGTTCTTTGAGTTGTTGTAGCTAGTCTGTCACAATTTTTATTAAAAATTATTAGACAGTAAAACTGACTTTTTTGGTATGAGCATACTAATGAGGACGTGAGGGAATTAGAGGTGCTGTGAAAAGACGTGGAGAGAGCCAAGAGGATGATGAGAATGAAAAAGCAGAGAGATTCACAACACAGGAAATGGCAAGGGGATTTTCTTCACTTGAAGAGGCACTGTTGGTTTTTGAGTCACAGGACCCCAAAGTAGAACAAAACACAAAGGTTTCAGCAGCTGTTCAGAAAGCCATCCAGTGCTACAGAGTCATCTATGATGAGAAAAATGAGCTAGTACTCAAACATCACTGGATTGTTTTTAAGAGGGCGGACAGAATTGAATCCATCAGAAAGCCTGTGGCATCAACTTGACGCGGGAGTGAAATTCCATCTCGGCTGCCATCTCCTGTGCTGATTGATGATCCTCAGCTCCACCCTCGCCCCCTACTCCACCCTGTTAGTAACTCTCTTCCCTTCGTCACACTGTGCAGACTCCCCTATATCAAGTGCTGTACTGTACTGTACCTCCATTTTGAGGTAGCTGTAAAAATAAACATAGCTTATCTACAGTTTTGTGTGTGTGTGTGTGTGTGTGTATTTGGGTTTTTTTTATGCTTTACACTGTATATTTACATCAAAAATATATAAGACTGACTTTGTCAGACTTATAAACAAATCCAACACAAATGTACTTCTTGAATAGAACCAGTTTGTAAGTTAGGGACTTATTGTATAACAAAAAAATTACCTTTTAAAAAACTATGTATCTGGCCTTTTGAAAAACAAATCTAGGGCAAAATAAAAAAAGTAATGTTGAGATCAAACTAAATGCCACACAATATATTCTGAATTTAAAAGTGGAAATAAAATTGAGAATATAACGCCCTTTCTCCCACAAAAAAATACCAAAACATAAAGCAGTTTTTAAAATGTGTGTATCAGGCCATAAAACAATCTGAATTAAAATTAGAACAGACTTGCTTATAGAAATTGACAGGTTGAATATATGTGGAAATGCAAAGGATCCAGATAGCTTAACAATCCTTAAAAAACAAATCAAGACCTACAGTTATCAAGATGATATGGTTAAAAAAAGAAGCCAGGCCTGGTGGCATATGCCTATAATCCCAGCACTTGAGAGCCTGAGGCAGGAAGTTCTTTGCAAGTTCGAGACCAGCCTGGGCTACAAAGTGAGCTCAAGGCCAGCCTGAACTGTACAGTGAGACCCTGTCTCAAAAAGACAAAAAAAAGATGACATGGTCTAGCATAATAGAATAATATCCAAAATCAAACTCACAAACATGCAATTACTTATTATGACACTGACAAGACATTTTAATGAAGAAAGAAAAGTCTTTAACAAATGGTAAAGGAATAACTAAACAAACATAAGGAAAAAATTACCCTCAAATTCCTACCTTATAGACACAGATAAGTTAATTCTAAATGAAAGCTCAAACCACACAGTTTATAGAAGACATGAGAACCTTGGGGTGGGCAAAGATTTCTTAAAGGACATAAAATAGTAACCATAAAAGAAAACTGGTAAGATGAATTTCCCTAAAAAAGGTTTCTGATCATAAAGACACTGTTAGGAAAGTGAAAAATGGGCCACTGACCAAGAGGAAATATTTATAACACCTATACCCGGGTTAGGACACCTATCAAAATACAGAGCATGCTCCTGCAACTCAACAGTAAACAGCAAGCGTTGTAATTTAAAAATCAATAAAAGACTCAAGACATTTCAGAGATAGCCAACAAATACACGACAAGGTATTCAACATCATCAGTCTGTGGGGGACATTCAAACTACAACTATTGAATTTGGAAAAGCAACACTAGTGCCAGGACATGGAGCGGGGGCAGCCTCCTACACTGCTGGTTGAGTGTGAAACAGTTCAAGTTTGGAAACTGGCAGATTAAGTTAAATATACACCAGCAATGAAACCAAGCAATTCTGCTCCTTGGTGGCTGCCTAAGAACTAATAAAGACTTCCACAGAGGAAATGTCCGTAACAGCTTCATTCTTAATACCTAGGAACTGGAAATAACACAAGGTCCATCAAAAAAGAATGGCAAACCTTCTATACTAAAATACAACCTGAGAATGGTTTTTAAATGGGTCACTGGTACACATAACAAATGGATTTCTCAAACACATGCTGTTAAAAACATTTGTATCAGGTCAAACAGCCCAAGTACAAAAAGAGACCATGCCCATTTATGTGACATTCAGTAATAGGCAACTACTCTATGCTCCGAACAAAACAAGGGTTTTCAAAAGAATGGACTACCAGGACTGAGGCAGGCAAGAAGTCTCCGGGTGATGGAAACAATCCGCATCTGTGCTGATAATAGCAGGTTACAAACCTGTCAGCCCTCAGGACATTTTATACCAAAGAGCTGCATTTGACTGCAGGTCAAGTTTATCTCAACTAAGAAAACTGACATCTACACCTGCAAAAATGAACACATTTTTCTCAAACTGGGAGATTTTCCAACCTAAAGGAAGATGGCCTAGAAGTGAATGACTGTTTAAAATAATCACTACACTGTGACCTGAGAAAAAGCAACAAGATAATCTCACGGAAATTCTGTCCAGGACCCCGGGAATGGGCTCAGACAAGGCCAGAAACAGTGAGAATGCTGAGGAGGGGCCAAGAAAATACCAGGGGCCACCTGCCTGAGAAGGTGACGGCAAGAGCACGGGAGAGCACGGAAGCAGAGAAAACTGCTGCACAATCAGACAAGGACGAGGGTCACATACAGTCCCATCCTTCCACAGTGGGGTCACTCCCACCTCCCGGGCTGCAAGTGTCCAGAGGAGAAATCAGGCCACGTTTGGGGAAGCAAGAGCTCCTGCAGCCACAACGCAGAGGACACAAGAAAGTGACATCAGACAGGAGAGCTAGAATTCCGTATCAGCACTCGTTACAAACTAGTAAGGGGAAAATGAGACCCATCATTTAAGGACAATTAAAAAGTTTAAAGAAAGCCACGGCCACTGCTATCATTTTCTTAATCCAGGGAGCCATCTGAGCAGCAGGGAGAGGCTGGTTGGGGAGGAAGCAGTCCCTACCAAGTAGCATCTGTCCTTGTTCACCTGCAGGGCTTGGAGCCTTCTGCCTCACCATCCAAGTCGCTCAGAGGCACAGCAGGTCTTTCAGGCCAGGCACTTGCTGAGCACTCACCAAGCCTGTGCAAGGCCCTGGGTGTGACCCCTCCCCACTCCCAAAAAGTTTTCAGTAAGGATTAAAATGCTGATCATGGAGTACAGAGTACTACCAAGTGCAAACAAAGACAACGGTGACAGCTTCCGTCTGTTGACTGCCCCTCTGCACGCTCTCCACGCGTCACTCATTTACTCCCCAAGGGACAGGGACAGAGTCCATGGCAGCCAGGAGCTACCCCTGTCACTAGGACACGGAGTGGCACTGAGCCCCAGGCCAAGCACTGCACCGCTATACCTGCGCTACCACCTCCACAGACCCTCTCCCCATCCGTCACCTATGAAAAATCAAAAATAGCAGAAGCAACAATTTTACCAGCAGCCAAACACGGAGAGAACACAGCCTCACACTGGTAACAAGCGAGCAGATCCCAGCAAGGCTCGTTTTAGCTCACAGACCCAGGCTGCCTCACCCCACTCCCCAGTCACAGACAGGACCCCCAAAATGCCACAAACGATTCCCAGTGTGGAGAGGCAGAATGACAGCTTCTCCTCCACAGAACAGCTGCTGGGGCCCATGTGCTTCACACGGGCAGCCCTGAAATTTGAAATCCCCCCAGCAACCACTTAAGGAACTCAGGTGTCACACCACGCCAACCACCAGAAACACAAATGTGCTTCTCAGCTACGTACAACTCACCAAACTCCCGGACCCATATTAAAGCAAGGAGGAAATGATCAAATTGCTGATTCCTCTCACCTACAATTCCTGGGGTCACGATCCCGAGGACTTGGCACTGTTTCGGGAACAGCTTCTCCAGGGCAACTGCTGTTTCCATACTCATTCTTTTCCTTGCTGTAATAACACAGCAGCAAAATTACTAAACTTCACCCATGTAAGAGCAGATCCAACAATGTTTTTTTTTAAAAAAGGCAAATATTTGACACCATCATGCTTTATACAAAGTCGAAAAACTTGATTGGAAGTTTCCCTATTTAGGCTTCTGCTTTGTATTTAAATTCTAAAGCTGATCAGCATTATTAGTTTGCCTCTGCTGTTTTGTTCTTATTTGGTTTTCACCCCAGTGATAGCAAACTTCATTTCGGCCGCTGAATGTGAGGCTTCGTGCACCCTGTCCCTGTGTTCAGGAGACCTCCCTCACAGCTGAACGGCACCCAACCTTGGCAGTCAATCCAGATGACGCCAGGATCACCCGTGGGAGCCCCACTCCTGGCCACGGTGCCTCCTGGTACTCAGCTGCCTTTCCCTCGGTGAGCCAAGCATGCATGGGATCCATCAGTCACTTGGGAAACGGAACCCCGTAACACAGCACTAAGAGGCTGGAATAGCTCAAGTACACATCCCGCTCAAAGAGTAAAAAGCAGTGCTGGGAGGACTACTATTTTTCCAAGTGAGAAAAGTACCTTTCTAACAACTCTTCTTTCAACTGTACAAGGTTAGAGATTGGCTGAAATACCCACAGCTCTGTGAGGGGAGGTTCAGAGATTCTCACGCACACGGCAGGAGTCTGTGACTCCAGGACCGCGTGATATACAACTAGTAGGAAATGGGATAGAAACCAAAGACTTTCTTTATACTTACCTTTCACGTGGCCCCGACGCTGCTCCTGACTAACAAATGTTTCTGAATCGGCCATATACAGAACCGTCCTCGGTAAGATGTGAACATTCTACAACGAAAACAATCAGCATCCGATGCCACGCGTCCCTGGACACCCACACGGTCCCCTAGTTACCTGGCCAGGCTGCTACCCACCTTCCTTCAGTCAGTGCTGGTGTCTGTGCCCAACTTCAAATCCCAGCTTACTCATCGGGAACCCACTCTTCCTTCAAGTCCAACCCACCCCAGCCCTCCAGACATTCATTTTCACCTTGGGAGTTTAAACTTAGAACAAAAACAGGAAGTGCCTGCAAAAAATGCTACTGGTCTTACTTGAAAAACAAAGGTTCACCCAGGGGAAGGTGCAGAATGGGACTGTGCCTCACTGCCTCCCAATCCTTCACTCCTGGCCTCGTCCACTGGCTTCTCCCTGGGACCCTCAGCTTACTGGTAGCGGAAAGCCCTGCTCCCACAGGTCCCTGCTGTGCTCTTCCTGTCCCCGCTGTCAGGATGGCAGACTGCCTGGCATACAGCAACATTTTCCGTGAGTTAAATGAGAGATGTTGCGCCATTCTAACCTGGGCAGTGTTGTTTCACAGTTCATTCTAGACAGACTCGTAAGACACTGAGACAGCATGGTGACCTGTGGGGGCCTCTAGGCTGATTAGAACACAAGGACACAATTTCTTGGGGCCAAGTAACTTTTTCTTTAATATAAATTGGTTCCCAAAATTTTTTTAATTTCCCAAAATTTTTACATAAAATGTGCGTTTCCAGAATCTTAAAAAACATTCTGGCAACACCAGGACTGGGGCTGCAGCCCACAGGCCTCCTTGCCACCTCAGCATGCAGTGCCTGGGCCAGAGAGTGGCACCAGAAGGGGCCAGGCCTCACTGCAGACTTTGCCCTAAACCAGCAGAATAACTCCAAGAGGCTTCTGGGCCTTTCCTATCCTCTAACAAATATCTGAGGTCCAGGACTGAGACTGTATTATTCTCTTCTCTGGCATCCACAAAAAGCAACTGCTGAATTTCCATTGCTAATTCTCAGAAGCAGCAGCAAAGATGACCTCAAAAGGAGAATCCTCAAAGCACAATGCAGCCCAGCAGGGACCCTTCCACGCCCAAAGGACAGACAAACGGGGTTTCATAAAATGCTTAGTGGTCTTTAGTTCTAATAAAAAGTTAAATCAACTTTGTTTACAGCTATCGAAAGACCCTGTACACCTGGTAATATGGAAAACAAAACAGCACACGTGCTTTACACAGAGTTCACATGTTTTACACAGGGTTCACATGTTTTTGTCTCACTGGTAGTTTACTATAATATATAAAACATCTTCAAGGCTATACTACAAACCTTAATAGCGATATTAAGACTATTTAATGACATATACTGAAAGCATTTATCCCTAGTATGGTTACGTGCCACATGCACCATGTATTACTCTTTTACCCTTCCAACAACTCCGTAAGGGCATAGGGAAATAACTGTTTTTCTAGAACATGAACCCTGCGGTCCAGAGAGGTTAATGAACTTTTACAAAGTCACACTGCCCGGTATGTGCCAAAGCTGCGGCCCATACTTAAGACTGGCTAGAACAGCACTACAGTGTACAAACTGTAAAGCTCTATAAAATAATGCCTGCTGTGACCAAAAACTGAAAACTACCAGTTTTTTAAAAGTTAAAAAAAAATTCACACAATTCTCATCCCTGAAGTGAACTTTTTATGACATTCAGCTTATTACCTCCCTTTGTATTTTTGATAGCCCTCATTATACTAAACAACTTTATAATCTGCATCTTCACTACATCACTTTCTCTTTCCATTAAATGACTCTTGAACTTTACCATTTAATAACTTCACTTTTTAAACATTAAGGTGCTAATTTCCATTATTATAAATGATGTTCCAAAGAACTCTTCCTTGGCAACCTTTTTTGAATTTTTCCAAATGACAGCTTTTGCGAATAGGATTTGGGACTACATGCCAGGGAAGGAAGCTTTCACCAAGCCCCTCCTGGGATTCTGACCGGCCAGCAGGAACCCGAAGAAGCGGAAGCCAGAGACAGGAGCAGATAGCGCGCGGACCTGCTACCTACGAGGAACAGGGGGGCGAGGTTTCTCCCGCCCCCAAAAAAGAGCAGGGGAAGCTGGAAAGAACTGTATGCTGGACTAAACAGGATGCACCTGCGTGAACCTGAGCGCCTCCAGACCGAGACGAACAGACAGAAACGCAGACACCTGCCGTGCGCACAGCGGCCCTGCCTAGGTGCGCGCTTCCCATCGAGAGCTCCACCAGGAAAATACTCCACACACCACCGCCGCGCTGCCGCTGCACGGAACAGGTGCAAGCCACTTTCTTAACTGTCCCTGAACAGCGTTAACTCCGTCCATGGCAGGCATGATGGGTGACGCGGAGCGACTCTGCACGGAGGGGGACGAGGGTCCACGGAGCGCCCAATCAGCAGCCCGCCCGCGCCCCACTTGCCTCGAGCTCCTCAGCGACCGCGCGTAGCAGTCGGTGCCCGTCAGGGGCGGCGTCGGGGAGGGCGTCGGTCCGGCCCACGGACACCCAGGCCACGTCGCGCTGGCCCCGCAGCACGCGGCGCGCGCACGCGCTCCACAGCCGGCTCACGCTGCAGGGAAGCGGGGCGCGGTCGGCAGCAGCTCGCCCCTGGTCCCAGTCCCCATGCCCCCCATGCCCCCCATGCACCTCCACGCATCCCACCAGGAGGCGGCGGCGCCGGACTGAGGGGCGGGGACGTCAAGAGGACCCGGGAGCGCGAGGGCGCGGACGGCGGACCTGGCCATCCCGCCCCGAGGTCCCCGCCAGACCCCCAGCGCTGGGCGTCCCCGACCCTCACCCGGCAGCGCGCAGCAGCGCCTTGGCGGGCAGGAAGGCGAGCACGCGCTCCACCACCTCCGCCAGGTTACTCAGCACGAAAGCGCCCGGAAGGTCTGCGCCGCCGCCGGGTTCCATGCCCGACGCCATCCGAGACGCACCGCGGCCCGAGGTTCAGAGGCCGCGAAGCCGCGGGCGCGCACTGCGCAGG